TGGTCGAGGCCCATGCACGGTGCGATGTCAGTGAACGTTAAAAAACACCAAAGGGTCGATGTTTCCAGAGCCCTCAACTACGGCGTTTCTCATATTCATATATTGGTTTAGGGAAGTGAAATGCCAGATAATATTATTATTATTAGTCTGCAGTGACCCAAGAAAATTTTGGTCAGTCGTGTTAGTTATTTTGTTGTTTGTTCTATAAACGCAAATTTTTTTTTGTTCACATGTACATTGGCTAAACTGGTCGATGTGTTAACATAGAAATTCATTTAATGGGGCCGTCTTATCTCATCTCGCTATGTCAGTCATGTAAATGTGATCCAGTCTTCAATACCACAGTAGTCTTGTACCATCATCCTAATCAGACAAAGCGAGAAATTGTGGAAGTATTGCCTGCACTTTGTGTGTGTCGACCGTCGCGATTGTTACAAAACAAGTAATTTGGCTGTAAATACGTGCTTTCATTGTTTGACTTTTCATGCCTCATTACAACACGCATGCTGCACCTTCATTTTTGTAGATATTTTTTTCACGCGTGTAAGAAGCTTTCAGTTGAAAGGGAACGATAGATGGTGTGTGTATTCTCTTCCTTGTCCTGCCTTTTTTTTCGCTATAAGTACTAATATAACTTGTAGTTATAGTGCCAGTGAAGGTTAGTAGACACTTATCATTCGTTGTGTATCTGGTACGAGCACCGCGCACGCTGTTCAGTGCATGTATCTTATTTTATAAATGCCCATTATACTTTCTACAGTACTGTTCAAAATTTAGAACCTCAGATTCTATTTGTCTACAGTGTCAATAAACAATAATTCCAAATGCATTCATGAATCTAAGACTGCTTGTGCAGTTCATAGACAACCAAGTTGTATTTTTTTTTTCCTTTCATTTTTTGCCATAAAGCAGTGGTGTAAAGGAAAAAAAAGAAAGGTGATGCTTCCGAGCCGCTCAAAAGGTCCTACAGTAGACCGATGAAAGTAGTCCATTGAGAGGCCCTGGCAGCTAAACAGTAAAGTTCATGATTGAATTATGCAGTAATATGTTGAACTTTGCCAAACTTGCAGTAATTAAGATGTCCTAGAACGGCGCAAGCGAAAAGGTAAACCGTGAGGCCTGCACACTCGTCGCAGCGGCGGCTCAAGCGTACCAATTTTTCCCGTGAGCGCCTGCGCGCCAGTTCGTGGTTCTGGCGTGCTTGACAATGGTCTATTGTATGCAATGGTCATTGTATGCATACAATGGTCATTGTATGTCAATAGCACATTTCATATGTACTTCCTAACTGGATTTCTGAATTCTACACTTTATTTGAAACATTATAAACTATAAGTGGTCAAACATTATAAAAGTTTAGTGATGGAAAGAGGTGGGTTGGGTAAAAGGCCTAAGGTTTTTACTTTTTCATATTGCAGAACTAAAGGCATGCAACTCGCAAGAAAAGTAATTATCCACAAAAAAAGTTCCATAAACAGTTCAGGTATCATTGCTCTAGGGTGAATATTAAAAAATAAATTGTTTTCGAGTAGCATCTGCTCTTAATCCAAGCTCATCTTAAAAAAAAAATTGAGGGACCCTTAAGCTTCGCCTTTAATAGTTGAACGGGATAGCGAAATCCGGCTCCTAGTGCGCCCTTCAATCGCTAATGTGTATACTTGTTAATATGTTTTGTTACATACACACACACATGCACACAGTGGATTGTACCAGCACGCTCCCGGGAATTGTACATACAGGTTTATAGTCTAAAGCAAGAGTCGCATGGCCTCCAAGATACACGCCACACGCTCGCCATATTGGAGGCCATAAAGAGTCTCACAATGTCTCACAGATGGCAGCACATTATCTAGCGTTTGCTGTTTGCTTGATTGATTCCCCTTGAAAGGCATGGTATGTTTTCCACTAGATGGACACAGTTGTCTAATTTAGAGCTGTTTGAAAGTTCCTGTGTGTTTTTATCCTATCCTGGCCTTTTTCGACAAAGTTTGAGGTCTCTCAGATGCGAATACAAATCACTGAATGGGCTCGTTTTCGTCGTTACACCGGTTGAACAAAATGCGTTAAAAGGGCCCTGAAACACTTATTCAAGTAACCATGGAATGAATTCACTAGAAGAGCTTATTGCCTTATGTTACAATGTTGGTTCAAATGCAGCGCCCCCACGCGGCGCTGATAGTTGTGTTGAGCTGTGCAAGCCTGGTACAGCAGCGGGGTGGCCGTTTTGGGAAATAATAAAACAGTTCGTTCTGGGCTAAGGGCTCAAGATTTTCTCGTGTTCTTCGCGAGCCTGATGGCCTACTGTTCACGGTTGTCACTACCACCTGGCCATCAGTTAATCTACACATGTAACACCTTACGAATTCAATGCCACAAAAATTTTAAGAATTCATCTAGTGCGAGTGGAGTTGCAAAGGTTTGTCGCGCGCCGCAATTGCATTTTCTATTCATCTCGCCCCGACGAAAGCGCTGGAAGCTAAGCAGGGAGGGGTGGCAGGGGCAAAGAAACTACGTCACTCGCGCCTCGTGACCTTGAGCACTTTTTTCTTTTTTTTTCTTCGAATGCGCAATTTTTTGTGTGATCGCGCGCGCTCGCGTGGACAAGTAGTGGCTTCTTGCAGCGATCTGTGTAGCGAGCTTTTTCTCTCACGGATGATTTCTCGCTCACAACTAACGGAGCCGACAACGTAATTTTGGCGTCACGAGCTCTCTAATGTTATCGCGTTAAAAGCAAGACTGGTAAAACACGTTCTTCGAAGGAGTGAAAGCACCTGTACAACAAACTCCTACTAAATAGCACAAGCCAGTGCTGTTCAATATCATAGTATTTGTTTTCTGAAAAGTCAGCAACAAATTTTTTCGACAAGGCTCAATGCTTTGAGTCAAGAGAGTAAGGATTATCTCAGATGCAGCACATCTTTGATTATTTGTGTAATCTGTATGACCACTGCTCTGATGAAACAGACCAGCACCTAGAAGGCCCTCTTTACACTGGCCAGCTTGACAGGCTCACTGAAGTCCACATGCGTCAATTCAATATTAACATAGCTGGACACCGCTGTTTTCATTTTTCACACAATTACAGCTCATTTTTACTTACTGCAAAATTTTTTTGTGAACTGAAAAATGATTTAAAAAGTTTTGGTTTGACTCTGGATGAAAATAATTCTCTCTTTCGCTCAACTTCAAGAATGCAATTGCAGCACACCGTGTTGCTTCCTAAGAAACTTCCGATCACTTTAATAATCACTCTGTAATGTCAAAGCAGAAAGCTTTTTTTTAAATTGTGTGAAAGTAAGGAAAAACTTTTTTTCCACTTCGAGATAAAGGGAAGAGACTTAGAAATTAAGGAATAACTTTTGTATCGTTATTTGTAGCTCAGAAGAAAATATATTGTCAATATTTGGCTAGTTGCGGGGAGAAAAATGTTGAAGATGAACAAGCTGTTAACCAAGGCTTTTGTTCCCCACCAATGCTACTTGGCTGTACCGTTGTGCAAAATTAGAAGCTGTCCAGGACCAATGTTTGTAAACAGCGAAAAGGTTTATGGATAACATTTTGGTTCCAATTTTCGTTGAAGTCAGGATTATTGTTTTTTTATTTTGTTCCAACACTGGTTAAAACACTGTCAAGTAACCAGTTTTGTGTAAACTCTCTTAACTAGTCATTCTACAACATCCTGTCAGACCAGTTTAGTTTTGAGTTCATGGCAGTGGTACAGCTTAGTTCACTCCTGCGTGATTTTCTAGTGTTTACTTTCATAATGGCTGCCACTTTACCAACCCTCCAATTGCTTACGCATCACACCATGCAAGAAAAACTTGTTCTTGGTCGAGTTAGTGCCCCCAGTTTGCTGAACTGGGGCACTAAAACTAACTAAAACTAAAATCATGAAGAAGGCAAAGGTAAGAAACAGTGGAGCGCTGAAAAAGGCAGAGCTTTCTGTTTGACATTTTCATATTTTTAGCTTTGCGCCAAGATGAATATGTTCAGCAAATCATGCAATACATTTTTCACCATCTGCATGCGTGTTTGCCATCTGGGGGCTCTTCAAGCCTGCAACTGCAAAGATTACTTTCATTGGGTTTTAAAGAACACATGCAGCTTATGCCACAGTTAAAGGGGCCTTGCAATGCTCCTCCAGAAAATGTGGCCCAAAGCGCAGCCACGTTTGGCATTGTTCATCTTGACAGCATTCTGAACTCAATGCACGCGTTTACTTGAAATGTTATAAAAGTTGTTGGAGGTGGTTTGGGACCCTTAAATGTTATCACAACTAGGTTACAAGGCTAGACAAGAGCAAAAAGAAGGAAATGAACAACATGTTTGTTTCCATCTCCTCTGTTGTTCTTTTGCTGTAACCAAGTTCAAAATTATCCCTACCAACTACCGAACTTCCAGTCTTGCTGTTAGCAGGAGAGGGAGTAACTGCAGTCTGTAGGAAACTTCTGCTTACAGTGCTCTTATTACAACTATGTAAGAAACTGGGGAAACATGGAGCTTATGAGAAAATGGTTCCAGATATTTGTGGAATGTGGGCTTCCTAGATCAAGGCCGCTGGGGCAACACTGGCTCTGTTAAGGGAAGCGGAATAATTTTAACAGGATAAAGCAGGAGGTGTGCCCCCTTATGTTTAAAAAGAAAAGTCCTCAACTGATTTGGCAGCTTATGACCATGCAATAATTGTATGGCTTTCAAATAAAAAAACTGCTGACGATGTTACTGGAGTCTTTAGCTTTCAGTGACATTTTTAGTCCTTTCTTTTTGTACTTCCGAAGTGATGCTTGTGGTGAGTTTTTCAAAGTTAAAGGATTCAGTTTTGTGGTGCTTTTCAGAAATGGTTGTAGAGCTATGGTTTTAGAGCTTTCAGAAATAGTTGTAGAGCTATGGTGGCTGATTTCTGCTCTGCATAGTGGCTTCATGCAGTGTAAGCCTTCGCAGGGCACGACATTGCTATGCAGAGTGTGGATGGCAGTGCCTGATAATGACCGTGTACGCAGCTTCCTGAATGAGCCAGCATACAAAGATGCGACGGAGAGCTCGTCGGTGTGCAACACGCGCCTGGTGGTAGAGCGTCGCCTGCGGCTGCCCTTCCTGGATGCCCAGACGGGGGTTGCACAAAGTGACTGTGCCCTGTGGATGGCCCGCTGGCAGCGAATGCCTGGGCACACAGAGGGTCAACTGTACTCGTACCCAGCACGCCGTTGGCGCAAGCGCCGCCGTCAGTACCTCATGAACGACCGCTACCTAGGGGCCACACGGCTGCGTGAACCAGCACCAGAATACGGGGATGCAGGTGAGAAAAATGTAAACCTGTGACTACTTTGAGGCGTTGTTAAGGAAGGAGATGCCAGAACCTTGCACCATGATGGTCTGGCTGTGAAAGGATTTTGTGAAATAGATCATCAACTGAAGTTTTTCTCGAGTTTAGGAGGTACAGCCGAACTCACCGACTGGATAATTCTCATATTTCTTGAAGATCAGCAATATATAATGAAATAACTTGAGCCACAGTATTTGGGGGGAAAGAAAAAAGTAGACGGACCTGCCAAGATTGCTGCATTCAGTGTGCAGGCAAGTTCTTGAAAGCTTTTGAGGTCGAAAAGCACATTTTCATAGGTCTTAAAGTCCTGGAATTTTTTTCCTTTCTTTGAAAAGCCTTGAATTTCTTAATATATGTCTAATATTGGCTGGGTGACCTATATTTTATGGTGAAGAAGTGTTGATTTGGCAGACCCCCACATTTAGAAAGAACTTGCTGGCATGTATGCTTATGTTCTTTCTCATAATGCTTATTCTGCCCTCTGGACTATTTTTCATTTACTTTGTTATAACAGATGTTTTGTTATATCCGGGTTCGGTGTATGAAAGTTTGAGTGTATATCGATTTGAGATATCTTTCTCTAATAGACAGACAGCTTTTGTATTGACATGTTGACGTCACAATTTCATGCTAATGCGCATGCGTGGAAATTTTCATTTCTAGCCTTGCTTGGCATGAACAGAGGGTGGGTGAGCCACACTGCAAGGAAGGGTCAGGCATTGACGGTCCAGAGACATGTGTTTTTTTTAAACATGCTATCTTACAGAAAAGGAGTTGTGGCAGAAGAAAGGAAGTAATGAAGCAAGTGCAGTGCTCCACTGTATAATAGCTTACATATTGACTAGAAACGTCAAATTAGAGACTTGGTATAAGCTCATTTACTACAGCTTGTTACTTGTACCACATACAGTCGAACACTGACATATCGAACTCGAAGGAGATCATGAATTTGTTTAATATATGAAAAATTCGATATAAAAAAATAGAGGCCTCGAGAGCTTACCTGTGGCTGATAATCACCTACAATAGGCGCATTAAAGCATGACAAATAATTTCGCACACATGCCGCAACAGAATGATTTATTTCCACGGAAAAAATTGCTAATCTTGGCTTGCTTCTTGGTTTTTGAAATGTTGAAGACGCTAGTCTCGATCTAATCAAGGCTGTCCTGGTGCGACAGGCCAATTCCCTCCATGTAGCCGATACAACGGCAAATGATGTCGAACACTGCCACCACATCAGCGGCGGAGTACACATGTGTAGCCAGCGCCTCATCGTCACATGAGATCCTCCTCGTCACATGAGCTGTCAGCCTGGACATTGCAGTCCGCTTCCACGAAGTCGTCCGCAGGCACTTCGTGTGGAACTGCTGCTGGAAAGGGGAATGAAAACTTGCAAAACGTGTTGTCTATGCGCTCGTCGTTGTCTTCACCGGTTTCCACAAGTTCCGCTGTCTTGAAGCCTGCCTTGAGGAAACAGTTCACCACTGTGTCAGTCTTCACGTCTCACCAGACATTGAAGATTTCCACAGGAGAAAATCTCGCAGAGATTTTCGGCCACTCCTTTGTCGTCTATTGCTGGGTGTACCTGGCTGCTGACAGCTTTGCTTTTGCCAGAATTGGTTCTGCCAACAATGTTGTAGCGCTGCTTAAATTGGTGAAGCCAGCCGCTATTGTCGGCAAAGTTTCACCGAGTGCAGTTGCTAACCATTTGGCCTTGGCGATCGGCATTGGGCCATCTACCAAAATTTTTTTCGCAGACACTTCTAAAAACCAGGCATATAGAGCCTTCCCGTGGGCAGAAGCGCGCACACGACAGGCTCCCGACGTTTGATGCTCCGTCGCCTTGCCTTTATATCTGCCTTGTTTTTCAACAAGGTACTCAGAGCGCACCGTGGTATACCAAAGTCATCTTCGACAGTCGAACATTTCTCGTTCCCTTCAATGCGCTGAATAGCCTTCAACTTCGTCGCAAAGTCAAAAGTCTTGCGCTTCTTGACGCTACATGAGAAGTCGACAATTTAAGGAGTCCGAAGCGGCTTTGCACACTATGCACGCAAGAGAGAAATGCTGTACATGCGGTGGTACGTAAGCGACGTGACAGGTCGAGAGCAACTAAAAGCTCGCGAGGTGATGGCCACCTGCGAGGGCAACAGCGGAAGGCAGGAAGAAAAAATAAAAATAAAAGAGGTGAATAGAAGAGGAAGGGAACTCCTTCGTGCCTGCTCTCTGAGGCGACGGGTACGCGAAGAAAGCATGAGAAAGAAAGAGTAACAAACAAACAAAAGAAAGCCGCTCCACAAGTTCGAGATGTGCAGTCCGAACCCTCTTGTCCTTACCTTTATTTGGAGCGTTTTGGGATTTTGGCGGAGGCGTGGGGCCGTGGGAAAGCAGCCGAAGTCGCCTGGCGCTGCGAGTGGCAAAACGCGCCTTCCAACTTGCGCGCGAAGCCGCGCTGCCACGGAGATGGGAAGGGGTGGGTGGGAGCGAGTGGTGAAGCGCGCACCTTCCAGCTCGCACAGTGTTTGATATATTTGAAGGTGGGTAAAAATACCGTTCGATATAAACGTGTGAATTTCTATACTTTTACAAAGAAATTTCTAGGGGATAACTTACGAGTTCGATATACCCAAAAAATCGGTATATGTGGGTTCGATATAACCATGTTTACTGTAGCGTATTTACTTGCGGAAAGAATACTCTCGCATAATAAACGCATCCCCAACTTCAGTCGTCACAATTTGGGTTATTTCCCCCACGTAATAAACGCACCTGCTAACTAACACATGGAGGCTTCTTGCCTGTCCGTTTTTTATTATTATTTTCAACCCCTCTGTACTTAGGCTCGTTCCCCCCTCCCCTTCACCCGCTGTCGCGCACCGTATTGTTTTTCTCGCCATCTGTGTGCGGCACATCTTCTGTCTTTTTAAATTTTCTATGTGCCACAGTGGGATGCACGAACGACGCAAGTTAGAGACATAGCAGCTGATCAGCATAAAGAGAGTGAAGGTCACAAAGTTGCCCACGCCAATCGACGGTTGATTTCTGCAACAAAGAAACCTTGAGGCCCAACTACATGCGCGCAACTTTCGAGTGACGACGACAGGATTTACTGTCGCCTCGTCCCCATTGGGTCACAGGTTTTTAGAAAATCAGGAAAAAGTTGCTTCTCCCCCAAAAAGATAGTGGCATACTGCTACTGCAGACACAAGGTTAGTTGAGCTGAAGAGAATGACATAGGATTTGTTCAGCAATGGCTACCCCAGCCAACTAAATAGAACGGAAGAAAAGCACGCAGCTGATCCCTCTGCTAGGACAATGACAGCGAAGAAGTGTGCTTCGCTCCCTTATTGACGAGGCATGAGTGAGTCACTATCAAGAATATTCCTCACAGAAAAAGCGGCTCGATGGTTCTGACTAACCGGACATCGCGCCCGCACAGTAGAAGAGTTCCGCGACAGCTTCTGCGGCGAAGTCCTTCCAACTAATTATGAATGGCCCTTGGAGAAGTAGTTGAAACTATCTACCCAGACGAATCCTTGCTGGAGTATTTACGGGGGATGGACGAATTGTATCGTCTCGCTAACCCTCTTGCCACCAACGCAGAAAAAGTGTAGCATGTTATGCGGCAAGTGCACTCAACGTTTGCAGCGCACTTCAGAAGATGCAGGTTCGCAGACCGGGAAGAGCTTGCTGCCGCAGTGAAGTGCATACAAGAAGATATCTTCACAGTAAGAGAGTATCGCCAGCCTCCACCAGCGGCACTGGTGGAGGCTGGCGATCGAGCGCAATCGAGCCTTGCTGTACCTGAAATGGTAGCACAGTAACTTCAGAGACGTTTAAGGGTATTATGTCAGCATCATTCGCTGATGAACACGTGCCACGCGGTTGGGAGTTGTCAGACCACATTTTGGACCCCTACGATTACGCACTTCATATGGCCCATGCCGCCCCCACATGTGACATTCCTCGTCAGGAGCACGCTGTTGACACAAGGCCTGACGAGCGGCGCAACCTGTAGCGAGGCCCACAGGATGAAGGCAATTGCAATCAGGCTGGCGTGGCTTTCGCGGTCCTTGCTACCAGTCTTTGCTACCGCGGTCCTTGCTAACTTTTGATATGCCACAAAACATTAGAATGAGCGAGAAAGGAGTCTCAACTGTTCCGATCAAGACAACCGGCTGTGAAAAGCAATGCGGCACGGTTATGCTCGCAGTGACAGCTGGTGACTGTAAACTACCTCTGTTTGTGATTTTCAAGCAGAAGATAATGCCCAAATTTGAAATTCAAGACCGTATTCACATTTGCAGACAAGAGAAAGGTTGGATGAATGAGGAACTGATGAACGACTGGATCGACACTGTCTGGAGTAGGTGACCAAGGGCTTTGCTGTGACTGCCATTGCTGTCGGCTCTCGACTGTTTCAAATGACATCTCGTCGACAGAGTAAAGGAAAAAGCTGCAGGACCAACCTGGCTATTATCCCAGGTGGACAAACATCTGTTCTGCAGCCATTAGATGTATTCATAAATAAAGCCTTCAAGGACAATGTGCGCAAGATGAAGGTGGAATGAATGACCAGCGAAGAGCATGGGCTTACTCCCACTGGCAGAATAAAAAGACGGCCACTAAAAACAGTCTGCGAGTGGATACTCGCAGCGTGGGACATGGTTTCTCCTGGCATTGTAGAGAAAAGCTTCAAGACCAGGATCACAAATGCGCTCGACGGAACCGACGATGACGCGCTTTTTGAGGGTTGCGACAGCGGCTGTGACGATGACAGCCAGTCGAGCCTCCCGACCAGCGTTTCGGACTAGGCCCCACATGACCGGACGTGTCTGATTTTTGAAGTGAGCGCTAATTTTAATAAATAAACAAATTCCTTCATTTGTGCTGTAGTGTTTTTTTAGGTACGTACAGTCGAACACGGATATATCATCTTGAAGGGGATCGCAAATTAATTCGATATATAA